ACCCTTCTTAGCCCATTTCCCAGCTCAAACTCACACACACAAACCCTTCTTAGCCCATTTCCCAGCTCAAACTCACACACACACATACACCCCCTTCTCCCACTTCCCCCTCTGGATCTGGATCCCTGCTTGGGACATCGGCACCAGGCAATGGCAAACCCCGCCAGCTCCTGCTCACAGAGTTAATAACGCTCCATAAAAGCTCCCCAACAAWGGCATTTTTGTTTTTGGCTTTGGAATATCATCAACGATCGGGAAGTACATAAATAATCTATTTTCTCTCCTTGCAAAATGTAGCGTTGGCGAACTTAACTCCTTGTCCTCAAGGCTGAATCACTTTTAGAACAGTTTAAAAAAAAAGGAACAACAACAAAAAAAAAAAACCAAAAATGATGAGTTTAAGACTTAAATGATCTTAAGACATCTCCATGTGTCACTTTGAGCTACAGGGCTGTGCAATCAGGTCATGCTTTGGAGAGCAAGCAGCACGAGAACAAGCCCAGCAGATGAAGAGAAGTGGGCACAGCTTTTGCTGGCCACTTTCTCATGAACACTTTTGAAACCCTCCAGCAGTCTGCTTCCCCTCATGGGCCGGATTTTGGATGGATTGTGGGGGAAAAGCCACAATCCCAAGCAGCCCAGTCTCTCTGCTGAGGTCCTGGTGGAAAAACTCTCCAATGAACTTTACTGAGAGCAGCTGGAGATGTCAGAGCTGCTGGTGGAGAGGGAAATGACTGAACACATTTTCAGAAAGATGCTCTCCCTTGACTGAACACCTTCCCAGAAAGATGCTTTCCCTTGACTGAACACCTTCCCAGAGCCTGGAGCTGCCTGAACCGAGCCTCTGGAGCACAGTGCTCCCATCACATCACCTGAGCTGAACTGCCACGGGTTGTGAAGGCATCTGCTCTCCCCAAAAACCCTCCCAGCACCATCCCTGGCTGTTTTTGCACACTCACCACGCAGTAAGCCACCAGGGCTCCCTGTGCAAAGCCTGCCAGCACGTCGGTGGGGTGGTGCTTGTGGTCGGACACGCGGGACAGCCCGGTGTAAAACGCCATCATGATGAGGGTGAACTGCAGCAGGGGCCGGAGCAGGCGGGCTCCCTTCCACGTGAATCTGGCCTGCAGATAAAACTGTGGGGACACAGGGAAACAAACAAAGAAAAAAGAAAAAGTTGTGTTAATTTGTCCAATTTTGCCCAAAATGTGTGCATGCAGCAGAAGATGCTCCGTGGGGTTGGCTGTGGGGGCGGTGATGAAAAGGAAGGATGCTGCTCACACATGGGTGGGCTCTGGAGGGATTTTTAAGCCCTGGAGGGCATTTGGGCACAGAGGTGGACAGGCACAGTGAACTGTGGGGACCCCCTGCACCCCCAGCCCTGCTTCAGCCTCCACACAACACCAATATGAGCACAGACATCCCTCCCAGCATCACTCGGTGCAGAACAAAACCACCAAATCTGGGGTATTTAGGGCTCACAGCATCTCCCAGGGTAAAAARCAGAGTCATTGCTGTGTGCTAAACCTCCAGAGCCATCCCAAGGATTCCCAGCCATGGCCACAGCTGCTGACAATGCTCACAAAGCCACCCTCTAACACTGCCACCACATTTTCCATCCCCATTGGGGTTTGGAGGAGCTGCCCCATTGCCCAGCACGGGAATTCCCTCCCTGGAATAGCACAGCTCCAGCTCAGCCCAGAAGACCAGGCTGAGGTGATGTCAAGCAGACTTTGTGGCCCTGCTGTGGCTATCTCRGGCCCGTTTCCGTTCCTGTGGGAACCGGGGATGGGCGGGAAGAGAGGGCAGGAAAAGGGGATGAGTGTGGGGAGGAAGGCTGTGGGAAGGGAGGGACRMCACTGCAGCTCCAGCCCTSGGGAGCAGAGAGGATCCCAGGCTGKAAAARTGCRTGGCAAAAGCTGCTCTGCTCCAATCCCTCAGCTCTGCTCTGCCTGTTCCTAAATGAAGCACTGGAGTCAGACCCAGCATCCTTCAAGGGGCTCAGAAGGGGTTTACTCCTCRTTTATGGTCCCTTTTACACACCCARAGCAGTTTGCACCACCTTGATATGAAAGGGAATGAAGCTCTCGCTGGGTTCCCCAAAACCAAAGATTATTTAATGACACCATTTACCCATAAAAGCACATCTAACTGGGCAGCTGATAAAGGGGAAGAATCATTTTGGCCAATTTAGTGTGTTTGGCTGTTGCATAAATGYTGTATTTACCCCTTTTTGGGAAGAACACACACCGGGCTCTTCAGAGGAAATGAAACCTAATCCAAACGTCATCTGAACTGAGCAGATGCTGCAAATTATCCAAACTGTGAGCCAATTAACATGGAAGGGAGCAGCACCTAAACAGCTCAGTGCTCATGGTGATTGTGGGGAATAGATCTGCAAGCCAGCCTGAGCCTGGGAACGGAGCCACATCCCCACAGAGCACACCCCAAACCCCACAGAGCACACCCCAAACCCCACAGAGCACACCCCACACCCCACAGAGCACACCCCACACCCCACAGAGCACACCCCAAACCCCACAGAGCACACCCCAAACCCCACACCCCACATCTCACACCAGGGAAACTCGTACACACAAAGCTGTGGGATGATGCAGACCAGCACATGGACCACTGGGCTGGCTCTGGGTGGTTTGTGATGGTAATTTTCATTGCCAAAGTCTTTGTGCACCCAAATTTTGCCCTGGAAGAGTAACTGTGCAGGCAGGACACAGCTGTGGACGTGCCATCCCTGGAACTGCTCAAGGATGGATGGAGCTCTGAGCAACCTGATCTGCTGGAAGGTGTCCCTGCCCATGGCAAGGGGGTGGAAATAGGTGATCTTTAAGGTGCTTTCCATCTCAAACCATTCCATGATTGTGTTTTCATGTTCAAGAGCCTCAACTCAGCCCAAGTGATGGTGCAAAACTCAGGTTCCACTGAGCTGCTGCTGCTGCTGCTGCTGCTGCAGAGCAAAAAACCTCCAAGTATTATAAATTATAAACCATCACTCTCAGTTCCACCAGGAAGACTTGAACCTGATGCCATATTTTAGTCTTGTGCCTTCGTCCCTTCAAATCCCTTAAGAAGGATAATCTGACATTTGTCACGTTTGCAAAATCTGGACATCTCCTCGAATCATTCTATCCCACAAGCCTGGACTAAACAGCCCACCCAGAGGTGCAAAGTATCCACTAAAAATTAGCGACAAAAAGCAAATAGCAAGTTTGAAGACACATTAAACCTCTGGGGCTGAGCTCTGTCCCTCACATGCAACATTTAGCCCTGGGAAAGGAGTGAAAAGCAGAGTGGCACCATGTGGGGTGTGCTGGTGTCCCACAAGTGCCCCAATACCCACCTCACATCTACACCTGCACATCTTGGAGGAGCAAAACCCATCTGAACAGACATCCCTCRGATACTGCAACACCAGCATGAGGATCTCAGCTGAGTTCCTTTCACTGACACGATAAAAGGCYATGGAAAAATTGGTCTTTATTCCCCATTCATAAGGGAATGACCAAAAAAAAGGGTAACAGCACTCCTCATATTCTACAGGCCTTTTATGAACATGCAGTGTTACAAAAGGTGCACTCAAACATCAGGATCCCCTAAATATTTTCAAGGTAAGACTCAGGCTGCTCCAAACTTTGCCCTCAGTATGMAAGAAAAACCCAGTTAGTAAGACAAGGTCAAAAAGCAAAAGTAGAATTTAGGGGCTGAAAGGATCAGAACTTCCCTAAAGCAGGAATTAAAGCTATTACCAACAAATGGGAAGTTCCTGGAAATTTATCTGAAAATCTGCTTATGAAGGTGTTTTTGTTGTTTTGGTTTTTTTTT